AAATTATTAAAATTTTATTTTATATTTATGTTAAAAAACTAATAAATAATAAAATAATTAATATTTAATATTTATTATATTAAATTTAATTTATAAATAAATATTTTAATTTTATAATTAACAATATAAAAGTTATAAATTAATAATATTAAAAAAAATTTTGGTGGCGATAATTTCAGTTATACATAGTATATAATAAATAGAAAGATGGAGAGTGGAGGGGCCGCCAAGGCCTGAATGTGAACCGTGAACATATCACGTCCTACTGGGGCCACCATGTGGTCTGCCAATTCTCTCTCTAGAAAAAGAAAACAGTGCCAATTGCTTCCAATACTTCCTAACCTTTTGAAAATTGCTTTTAACTTTAATCAGATTTTAAAATCCATCCAATTGCCACAATTACGTTCTTAACATTCTTAACTTGGTTTAATTCATAATCCCAATTTCAATTAATTTCTTGTTGGAAACAAGTGGAAGTTAATATTCCTAATCAATTCTATCCCTAGTTTCTTTTTTTAGACTAAAAATTTATTTTCTCATATACTATGATTAAAAGTATTTATTATTTAAAAATTATTTATTAGTCAACAACTTAAATAGTTTAATATTCATTTTTTTTGTTAAAAATATAAAATTTTGAATTCAAGTTACATGATATACAAATAAGTAAAATAAGAGATAAAAAATTATTATTTTTTATTGTGTAACAAAAATTATATATATATTAATTAGTACCAACAATAATTTAATCAAATTAGTATTTATTATTTAAAAAATTTTACTTTAAAATTAATACCCAAAATTTTAAAATTTTATAATTTTATATTATTAAGTAACTAACCGTTTAATACACTAAAAATAATCAATTGTCTAGAGTGCAATTTATAAGAACAAAATAAAATAAATCTCAAATATCCAAATATTACACACAAGAAAATTTGTTGTCTCTTTTTCTCCGTGTAGTCTTGTGTTCTAAGAGAAGAGTCATTTTCATTCTTCCATCAGATACATTACCCTTGTAATTTTTCACGTCCCATCATCAGAGTTTTCTTCTCTCTCCCTTCTTCCTTCATTCCCAAACCCAAACCCTTTCTTTGTCACGAACAAATAAATATTACCCCAAAAAAAAAAAAAAGAAACCCTCTTTCCCGTGAAGAACACCACAGGCCTCACCCAGCATATGCACAACACCTGCTTTCAACCAAATCCTCCTATTCTCCTCACTCTTCATTCCTTGTAAATTCCTTCAATCTCAGTACTGTGAAGGATCTTTCTTTAACAAAATTGTTGTGGTTCTGTTACTGTACTCTTACATTTAAAAAACTTTTTTTTTTGCTTCTATTCTTCTGCGCGCCTCAATTCTAAAACCAAAGTTTAGGAAAATATATACCTGAAAATTACAACCGATCATATAATTCATGGATTCAACCTCAGGTGGAGATACACTCGACCCCAATAGCACAGCGCAGCCTCAGCCTCAGCCTCAGCCTCAGCCTCAGCCTCAGCGTCAACAGCAAACAGGAGAATCATCTTCTCCAGCAACCCCGAGCCGCTACGAGTCACAGAAGCGCCGCGACTGGAACACTTTCTTGCAGTATTTGAGAAACCACAAACCGCCGTTAACGCTAGCTCGATGTAGCGGCGCACATGTTATCGAGTTCTTAAAGTACCTTGACCAGTTCGGGAAGACTAAGGTCCACATAACGGGCTGCCCCTACTTCGGGCACCCTAACCCCCCCGCTCCCTGCTCGTGTCCACTTAAACAGGCATGGGGTAGCCTCGACGCGCTGATCGGACGGTTGAGAGCCGCCTACGAGGAGAGCGGCGGACGGCCGGAATCGAACCCGTTTGGGGCGAGAGCGGTGAGGATTTACTTGAGGGAAGTGAGGGAAGGACAGGCGAAGGCGAGGGGAATTCCATATGAGAAGAAGAAGCGGAAAAGGCCCACGGTTACATCTGAAAAAGTGTCGGTGGGGAGGAATCAAGGGGTTGAAGCTGGTGCTAGTAGCGGTGGAGTTGGTGGGAGCGGAGGAGAAGAGACTGGAGGCGGCGGGAGTGCTCCTTCTCCTCCTGCTGCTGCTGCTGCCGCTGCTGCTACAGCTACTACTACTAGCGTACAGTGAAATTTTACTTTTCACTCTAATAGCTCTTTTGAATTATGATTATTATGAGTTACATATTATCCGCCGATTCTCTTCTTCATTCCCATGAAAATTCATCATTTCCTTTATCTTCTTCAGCAAAAAGATGAATGAATGGTAGGTTTTGTGTCTATAGAACAAATCAAGGCTTCGTAATTGGTATATCTTCTTTTTCTTCTATATTGTTTATTATTATTAATTATGACAAAAACCCAAAAAAGAATGAGAAAAAAAGATTAATAAAACCTAACCAAGAAGAAGGTAAGAAGTTTTATCCCTAATTGCTACTTTTCATTCTTTTTTTCTTCTTTTTTTTTTATCTTTCCTTCTTTCTAGTGTGAAGTCAGCCTGCATTCACAAATATTTAAATTGGGTTTATGTTTGCTTCTTTTGACCTGGTAATCTCCAGTTATATAAACAAGATCACTGCAGTAAGCACATGACAATTGAAAACCAATTAAATGCTACCAACATGGGGATGTACTATATATTCATTCTCAATAAATTTAAACAAACTGATGACTATATCGTACATACTAAATCTTGAACAGTAGTATTCTATGATCTTGTTTTCTCTATTGTTATTGTGAGATTTAACCTGCAGTTTGAGATTTGGAGACAGCAGGTTTGTTGGGAAGAATGGTAGCAGTATATATATATATATAGCCAAATGTTTTATTTGCATATAACTGTGTATCTGGTCCCGGGGAAGTAGCCTTCTTTTTCTTGAATATCATCTCTTTTGGGCCTCTCCATACACGTGCGCTTCTGTTTATACACTCTTGGGACTTTGAGTTTCAGGTGCCATCCTTCCATCTCTAACTTGAACGAATCAATCTTAAGATTTTGTTTCCCAGTGCAGGGATTTAATTTTAAGATTTTGGGTCCTCAAAATTTAATTTTCTCAATACAGGATTTTGGGTATCTGCTTTTCATGAAAGCAAACGTTTGTTTCTGTAATAATTGCGCAGGCATCAATGGAATGCTTAAAATAATGCCATTGTGATTGCTGTTGGATATATATTTAGTATTTTATATGGGGTGTAAAAACCACCCACCTCAGTCTGACAAGGACCAGAAGCCAACCCCTAATTTGCTTCTATTTTCTATTGCATTATAATAATAAATGTTATATAATCTCACCCAAACTCTCTGATATATAATAACAGAGCCACCAGTCATTCCCCAACAAGACCTTCCCATCTCTCCATAACATCGTACCTCACTCATTTATTGCTTAATTCATTATCATCTATTTATTTAGATGGGTTTTAATTATTTTTACAAAAATGTGTTCCATAATCTTTTAAATCATTAATAGAACGGGTTTTCTAAAATTGAAAATTACCATTTAGTTAATAACTTTTATTTTGTAATTTAATAGAATCTATATCAAATTACGCAAAAAAAAAAAAAATTTCTTGTTAGTATTTTCTTGTTTCCTTCTTGTTATCCTTAGTCCTAGCTATACAGCTTCCCATTTCCCCCCACCCTTTTTTTATCATGAATTCCATAAACTCCATTTCCATGGATGACGTCTTACAAATGTCATTAATTATATCGTTTAAGAAAACTTATATATATATAATAAATAATTTCTTAACTTTAAGCATGTCTATTCCTCACAAAAAGTCAAAAAGAAGAGAAAAATGATAGATCTCACCCCTTTTTATTTAGATCCCTTCTAGCTAGCTCAATATGTCATCTTTTCTCTGACTCAGATAGGTAGAGGAAATTTAACAAGTTCAAAGAAATTAATGTTAATATTGTTTGAGGAAAATTAATTAATGAACATAATATAAAGAAGGTAAGGATATTTTGATATATATGGTTTGTGTGTTTGATTTCTTTTTACAAGTACATTTTGGTTTAAAGAGTACGTTGTGGGGGGTGGGGTAAAAACCATATAGTAAAAACTGAAAAGTGCGAAAAGGAGAAAGGGAGAGACAAAGGATCCTGAATTACTTTATGTCGTGACATAAGGGGTTTTATCTGAGCCTTGCGAGAAAGAAAGAACCTCCCCCAACGACCACCTCCATCGACTGGTCTTGTCCAGCCCAAACTCCCACCACTCTCCATTGGTTTTTTCTTTGTTTCTTTTTAACCTATGGATTTAGAGAGGAGGAATGTATTTGTGGTAAAACTCTTTATTTACGTCATAAATATTAATATTTTAAAAAAAATTTATAGTTAAATAACATTTTTATAATTAAAATTTATAAAAAAATGAACAATTAAAACTTTGTTTAACAACACTACTTATAGTATTTTTTTATAGATATTTATAAAATTTTTAATGATTTATGTGTTTAATAAATTATCTATCTTTATTTAAAAAAATACAAAAATCATTTTATCAAAAATTAATAAAATTCTTAAATTTTTTTGCACATTATATATTAAACTATTAATCAATTTAATTTTAAATAATAATGTCTAATTGAGTAATTTTACAATAAATAATTTTTTTGAAATATAATTACCAAATATTAAAATATTTTTTGTGACCATATAACATAACACTTTTAACAATTACAATTAAAGAATTACATTAGACAACGTTGTTAAAGTAAATCTAAATAACATATGAATTAAAGTGTAAGTAGTGAGTTAGTCATTAGTTTTTAATTTTTTTTATAAATTTAAAATTTTAAAGAATATTAACAAAAAAATGACGGCAAAAATATTAATATTTAGGGTGTAAATACAAAATTGAAAATGACTCTCCTTGATTCATCTTGCTTTCCTTTCCCCTGACCACCGCTTTCTCAATTACCTAAGCAGTTAAAAAGTATGAATCACAAGGTAAAATTGTAATCCAAATGGAGTAGTACAATAATTAAAAATTTTAAACTTAAATTTTAAGTTGAGTGAAAAGAATGTAAAAAAAGAGAAAAACTATCATTTCTTATATAATTCATTCAAATGTATAAAAAAAAAAAAAAGGTAAAATTGTTTCACCCAAGAATTTTTTTTTTTAAAGAGAGTTTCTCCTTCATAATTCAAAATAATTAAAAAAAATTAACGCTCGACCAATCATAGGCGAGTGCAGTTAGCATTCACAAAATATAAAAATGTATCAAATGATTTTTTTTTTTTTTTGACGTATCAAATGATTTGATGGATAGTGAGCCCAATATACGGGTCATCTCTTAGATAAAGTCGCTTTTTTTTTATTCAAT